CAAGCCCCGAGGTGCCCAGGTACACCGGCAGCTCCTACAAGGAGGACCTCTACCAGAAGTGGAAGCAGAAACAGAAAATACCATACGCTCAATGTCAGCAGTCGGCCCTGTCGGTAGCGCTGTTTCCGCCTGATCCAGTCGGGGCATGTGCAGGAGGCAACCAATTGATGTGTCTTTCTCACATCCATGTTTCTCTCTCTGCCTCTCGCCTTCCCTTCTACTCTAAAAATCAATGAAAAATGTACTCAGATGAGGATTAACAACAACAACAAAAAATATGCATACATACACACATATACATAAATACATGAATATTGGGGGGCTGAGAGGGTGAGGCCCCACAGGTGCACAAATTTCATGCACCGGGCCTCTAGTCCTATATAATAAAACCCTAATATGCAAATCGACCAAATAGTGGAATGATTGGTCACTACGATGCACACTGACCACCAGGGGCAGACACTCAATGCAGGAGCTGCCCCCTGGTGGTTAGTGCGCTCCCACAGGCGGAGCGCTGCTAAGCCAGAAGCTGGGCTCACAGCTGGCGAACACAGTGGCAGTGGCAGGAGCCTCTCCCACCTCTGCTGCAGGCAGAGGCGTGAAGGGGTCCCAGACTGCGAGAGCCCCAGACTGCGAGAGGGATGTCTGACTGCCAGCTTAGGCCCAACCCCTGGGGATCGGGCCTAAGCTGGCAGTCAGACATTCCCCAGGGGTCCCGGAATGGGAGAGGGTGCAGTATGTATATAAGTTCTTTGGTTAACCTCTTCTTGTCTCCCCTCCTCCCCTCTGAGATATGTCAGTCTATTCCATGCCTCCATGCCTCTGAACCTATTTTGTTCCTCAGTTTATTATGTACTAGATTCCACTTATAAATGAAGTCATGTGATACTTGTCTTTCTCTGACTGGCTTATTTCGCTCAGTATGATAATCTCCAGGTCCATCCATGCTGTCACAAAGGTTAAGAAATCCTTCCTTTTTACAGCTGCATAGTATTCCATTGTGTAAATGTACTGCAGCTTTTTTATTCACTCATCTTTTCATGGGCACTTGGGCTGCTTCTGAATCTTAGCTTCCTCCTTAAGGCTGAATAATATTTCACGTTTTGTTTATCCATTCATCTATCAATGGACATAGGCTGCTTCCACTTTCTGGCTATTGTGAATAATGTTGCTCTGAACATAAGTGCAAATATCTCTTAGAGTCCCTGTTCCCAATACTTTTGGGTAGGAACCCAGAAGGTGAATTGCTGGACCACTGGTAATTTAATTTTTAATTTTTTGAGGAACTGCCATATACTGTTTTCCATCATGGCTACAGACATTCACATTTTCGTCAACAGTGCACAAGGTTCCAATTTTTCCACATCCTCACCAACACATGTTATTTTCTGTTTTTTTGTTGTTGTTGTTTTCTGTTTTTATGGGCATAGCTACCCTAATGGGTACGAGGTGGTATAAGTCTTTTTAATTAAGATATGTGAATTGTAGATAATTTTTCCCAGTCTGTGGCTTGCCTTTATAGTCACTTAACAATGTTTGAGTAGAAGTTCTTAATTTTCACACTAAAGTCTGCAGTTCCTTTATGTCATATCCAACAAACTTTTGCATAACCAGTATCACAAAGATTTTTCTCCTATGCTTCCTCCCACAGGCTTTATAATTTTAGGTGCTACATTTAGGTCTATGATCCATGTTTTAAAGCTTACAGTTCATTTTGTCTTAATTTTTGTAAATGGCATGAGGTATGGATCGAAGTTCATTTATTTCCACATTAGTGTCCACTCAGCAAATGGATGAACATTAGGGTTACTTGCCTTCTTGAGTACGATGAATAATACTGCTATGAACATTTTCTCCTGGGTATATACTTCGCAGAATTTCTAGGTCCGATGGTAACTCTATGTTTAACTCTTTAATAAGGAATTGCCAAGCCGCTTTCCAAAGCCACTGAGCCATTTCACTTCCCAAAGCAATGTAGGAGTGTTGTTCTACTTCCTGATAATACTTGTTATTGTCTATCTCTTCAATCATGTCCATCCTAAGGCTATGAAGTTGAGCTCACTGTGGTTTTGATTTGCATTTCCCTGATGAATAATGATGCTGAGTATCTTTTCATGTGCATCTTGGCCATGTGCATATCAACTTCGGAGAAATGTCACTTCTTTTGCTATTTTACATTGGGCTGTCTTTTAATTATTTAGTTCTTTATGTATCCTGGATTACTGTTCTTTATCAGATATGCGATTTGCAAATATTGTCTTCCATTCTGTGGGTTGTCTTTTCACTTTTTTAAAAAAATCTTTATTGTTGAAAGTATTAGATATGTCCCCTTTTTGCCCCCATCGACCCCTTCTAGCCCACACCCACCTGCCGCCCAGGTTGTCTTTTCACTTTTTTTTTAATTTCTTTATTGGTTAAGGTATTACAAATGTGTCCTCATCCCCCGATTTACCCCCAACCTCCTTCCCCCTTTCACTTTCTTGATGGTGCCCTTTGAAACACAAAGGTTTTTAATTTTGATGAAACCCAATTTGTCTGTATTTTTCTCTTGTGCTTGGTGTCATATTAAAGAAAGCACTGCCTAATCCAAAATCCCAAAGACTTAACTCCTATGTACGGTACTAAGAGTTTTATAGTTTTAGTGCTTACATACACATGCATTTTTAAAAATTAAATTTATTGGAATGACATTAGTCAACATGAACATATAGGTTTCAGGCGTGGGTTTCTAGATCTGCATATTGTTAAAGGACTAAGGGGACACTTGCCAAATGGTTCCCCAAAGGTCACCTCTGGGGAAGGGCATGAAGTTGGGGTCTGGTTAGGGTTTGATGGGGATTTTCATTTTCTCAGCCATATACTTCTGTATCGTGTGGATTTTTTTGTTTTACAAGCATGGCTAACTGTGGTAATTTAAAATCAATAGACTTTAAAAATATCAACAGACTTTTTAAAGGATTCAAAATTATACACAGTTAGCTCGACTGGTGTGACTCAGTGGTTGAACGTTGACCTATGAACCAGGGCGTCACTGGTTCAATTCTGGTCAGGGCATATGCCCAGGTTTCGGGCTCAATCCCAGTGTGGGGCATGCAGGCGGCAGTTGAACAATGATACTCTCATCATTGATGTTTCTACCACTCCCTCTCCCTTCCTCTCTGAAATCAATAAAAATATATTTTTAAAAATTCACAAAGTTAGTTATTAGAATTGGGGTGAGGGTCATGTGGAGATAGGATTCCTTACCTAGCCAGTTTGGCTCAGTGGATAGAGTGTCAGCCTGTGGACTGAAGGGTCCCGGGGTTCAATTCTGGTCAAGGACACATGCCTTGGTTTCAGGTTTGATCCCCAGTAGGGGGCGTGCAGGAGGCAGCCAATCAATGATTTTCTCTCATCATTGATGTTTCTCTCTCTCTCTCCCTCTCTGAAATCAATAAAAAAATGTATATATACTAGAGGCCTGATGCACGAAATTTGTGCAAGGGGCTCGGCCTCACAGCCTCAACCCTCGCAGCCCCAGCTTGTCCAGAAGGTCGTCTGGAAGGACATCCGGAAGGTCGTTCGGCTGTCCGGTCTAATTAGCATATTACGCTTTTATTATTATAGATACATTTTTTTTTATTAAAAGTTGCATTTTATTTTGTCTATTCTCCCATAAACAAATACCAAAACAGTCAGAAATCAAAAACATAATGATCTAATTTCCATGATGGCAAACGAGCCACCACTCCATGGCCCCTGATAATTCCTTCCCAATTTTGGAAATGCTTAGGGGGAACACTCACATATTCAGCTGTTTTGTTCTGCAGTCCAACCCTGCATAGGATTATCAACTAAGTTAAATTTTACTACAAATTGTGAGAAAATCTATTATAGATACATTTTAAGGAGATAGGATTCCTTGAGAAAGCAGCATCTAAACTGAGACCAGAAGGTGGAGGAGTACGCTGGCTATAGATGGGAGCAAGAAAAGTGTTTAGTTGGGGAGATAATTGTTTGAGCCTATGGGAAAGAGGGGTTCATTTAAAATAATAATAATGCTTTAAACTCTCTGGATTGAAGAACGGGAGGGGGCAAATAAGAGGAGGGAACAAGAGGCTGGAGAGAGACAGGGGGCAGATGTCCTTGTCGCCTAGGAAAAGGGCTGTAAGCAAGGGAGCTCCCTGATCAGGTTTACGTTTTGGAAAAGTCATCCTGGGACTGGGGAGAGGCCGAGCGGAAGGGGCAGGGAGTTCCAGGAGGAGGCTGCTGCAGGAACCCAGAGAAGAAAGGATGGTGGACGAAGTCCGGCACTACTGGGTGAGGAGAGAAGGGACTGGGTTGGAGATCCTTAGGACCTGGCGACTGGCCCAGGCGCTGAGGAAAACTCCCGACTTCCCGAGTGACAGCCGAGTGCCCTGGCGGCCCATTACCCAGCTGGGGAGGTAGCAGGGCGCTTGGGAGGAAGCTGATGACAGCGTTTGGACTGGGTGTGCTCCCTGTGGACCCAGAGATGCTCCATAGGGCGCTGCGCGTAGGTATGGGCTGGCGGTCGGCGCAGACGGGGAAGGAGGAGCCAGTCCCGCCCTGAGCCATTGCCGGGGCTCCGCTGGCTGAGCCGCAGGACAGAGCGGGACCGAACCCCGATCACACGAGCGGACACCCCCAGACGGCCCCTGACGCACGTGCTCACCACGGGGGTGGGGACGCCCATCGGTTCC